CCCACTAATAAGAAGGTCAATGCTTCAATCTAAAGCTACAGTACTTCATGTCAAAGTGATCCTGGACAAGATACTAAGTGCCAAAAGCAACAGTTGACATATCCATCACAGTTTGTGATGTGTGCTTAGAGTGGTGAGTATACTACAACATATATACCCAGAATATTCGATCAAAAGGCTTCTTCACCATTACTTATGCATTAGCTGTCTCCTGCAGCACATCCAGTACCTGCATGTAGCATTTTCTGTCTGCCAATTTTATGTGCTGATACTATTTTAATCCTCCTTAGGATAGGAAGGAGTATTTGCCTGTAACATAAAAAGCACTGCAATGTACAGTGAAAAGCAATACAGTGAACAGCTACTGCTAAAAATTCCATCGAAATCTATCATAAAAATTTTTGTTTGATTTAATAAAAATATAAAGACTATCATCAGCCTTAATTCCAAGCTGCTTTCAGCTAGAAAGATCTGTACACTTTGCTATGCTATCCACCCAGCAACAGTTTGTAGATAAAGTTAAAGAGCAGCTAAACATAATGAGTCATTTCACAGATTAAAAGTCTGATATTTCCTAAAGGAACTGATACAAAATGAAACCAAAAAAAAAGGATGGCGTGCAAAGGCATACAAATAAATACTAATTCTTGTGTAGTGTTGTGATAGACACGTTTCACAATACAGCTGGGGGGCTAAGAATTAAAGCTTATAATGATACAGTCAGTTTATTAGGTACACCTTGCTAGTGCTGGGTTGGACCCCTTTTGGCTTCAGAAACGTTCGTTTAAGTCCTTGTGGCAGAGATTCAACAAGGTCCTGCAAACATTCCTCACAGACTTTGGTCCAGACTGACACTGCTGCGAATTTGTCGCTTGTACATCCATAATGTGAATCTCCTGTTTCACCGCATCCCGACGTGCTCTACTGGATTCAGATCTAGTGACTCTGGAGGTTATTTAAGTACGATGAACTCAGTGACCTCATGTTCAAGAAATCACTGTAATATGGCATTTTATCCTGCTGGAAGCAGCCATCAGAAGATGTGAACAAAGGCATCAACAAGCTAAGAAACAATACTGAGGTAGGCTGTAGCATTTAAATGATGCTTAGTTGGCACTTTTGATACAAGGCAGAATGGTTGCACGTTTATTCATTTAACCCAAATTCTGACCATACCATCTGAACGGCGAAGCAGAGATTGTTTTGTTTTTCCAGTCTTCAACTGATCACTTTAAGTAAATTCTTGCAAATTCTGGACTAATTTTCCAGTTTTTGGCTGACAGGAGTGGCACCCAGGATGATCTTCTGCTACCGTAGCTCATCTGCTTCAAGATTAAATGTGTTGCACGTTCAGAGATGCTCTTCTGCACACCTTGATTGCAACGAGTGGTTATATGAGTCACTATTCGCATCAGATCAATGCAGTCTCCTCTGATCTCTGGCATCAACAAGGCATTTTCATGCAGAGAATTGCTGATCAATGGATATTGTCTTTTTGTCAGACTATTCTCTTTAAACTCTACAGATGATTGTGTGGGAAAATCCCAGAGGATCAGCCTGTAAGTCACCAACAACCATGCAAGTCACTTATATCATGTTTCTTTCCCATTCTGATGCCCAGTTTGAACATCAATACTTCATCTTCACCATGTATATATAACTAAATGCACTGAGATGCTGCCATGTGATTGGCTGATAGATATTTGCATCAGCGAGCAGTTGAACAGGTGTACCTAATGAAGTGGTTGGTGAGTGTATATCCATGCGGAGGGATAAATGTCTATGAATATTTGGTCCAGCTGCTTGTTAACATTAGAAAGCCTTCAGCCTGGCCTCAGTGGCACTGTAATTTGATTGTAAAATTATTGGGTATTAACAGAGTCTGAACTCTGTTTAGTACAGTGTGTTGCAGCAGTTATCATTAAACATCAGACCATATAACACAGTTATACTGCACTTTATAGTTACCAGAGTGGAGCAGAGGCTCATACATATTTAATTCTAGCATTTTAAATGCCATCCAGCTACTCAACAATCATCAGAAGGCGTCCAGCTCCTTTGTCCTCTGAAGTTCCTCCTGATAGTCTTTATTCCTCCAGGCTTTGCCCTTACCGACACTTATAACTGTGGGTGGTGGGGGAGCTCTCAGTATGAAAAGCAGGTGAATTACAGTAGTCTGAAGAGGTGAGATGAGAGGGACGGCTCTCCAACGCG